TTAATGGTTACTAATCAAACAGTACAAAAAACGACCTTTTGATTTTCTGTCCACGAAAATCGAAGTTTTTTCTCAGTACAACTTAAACCAATAAAACGCTTTAATTGTAACTCACGCTTACTAAGCAACCTCAATAATTCAATTAATATAAAATAATAAACCAGAAAATCGTTGTAAATATAACGTCCTGGTGATATTTCGTTCGAATTAGATATGTAGGTAAAATTATGAGAAAAATTTCTCAATAAATAGCCAAAACTAATCAGTGAAGGACAAACGGAAACTTCGAGGTATCACTGATAACAAACCGAGTTCGAAACAATGCAATGACGTTAAAAACTACGACGCAGCGTGATTTGAGACAAGTTATGTGAATTATAATATCAGAGGCGTCATATTTGACTTCTAAAGCAACTGCAAGTTATACTATTATATTAATTTCCTGGGAGGCATACCCTCAAACCCCTCTAGATTGAGATGCCTATGGCAGCTCCTTATAATTTCAATCTCTCATTGTAAAATCTGCATGTCTAGCCCCCACTTTGCAACTCCTTCCTGCACCACTGAATATGCATAACTATTTATCAATATTCCTGTTGAAGTCAATGGTATTATTAGTTGCTGATATTCTGAAACTACAAAAAAAATACTTTTAATGGCTGAGGCTTCCTTCAAATTCATACATCTGGTCGTGTTAAACAAGAGCCCGAGAAAAAACAAGGCCTAAAATCTGATAAAAAATCATAGAAAAACTACAGGTTTTTCGTCTTTGTTTTCATATTCCTCTTAATTTGCCCATTCCAAATTCAAAACCAGAGGCGTGTAAAATACTACATGAAGTTAGTTATTCTTATGACAAATTTTAGGCCTCTTGGTTTATAATGCTTCGCCAGCCTTCGGCGTTGAAATTGCAGATTTTAGAGTATTATACAGCATATATAAATAACCTTTCAGAGAAACCTTTATCTCATAGCCTAGCCCAACTAACGACATTTGATATAGAACTGAAGACCTCGCTGACAGTGACTCGTGAAGGGCAAAGGATATATCTGAACTGCTATATTTTTCTAGCCTCTGACTTTGAATCTGAAACGGTCAAATTAAGAGGAATATGAACAAATATTTGCAATTTGTGATTTTATGTCCCAAATTTTAGGCCTAGTAACCAACTTTCGGTGTTTAAACCGTAAAAAAAAAGCACTTGCTACCGCAATGAAAACTTATTAACTTTAATGCTGTCGTTTTATAACTTAAGTTGTAATAAAATGTGCACATATAAATGTTTTGAGAACTCCAGGTACACAAATGTTCAAAAGACCAAACACTGATATAAACATGCGAAAAAAATAACAGATATACAGCGTAACTTTAATTTAGAAAAATTGTAGGAAAGTAAAGAATCGCATGACTGTGTGAATGACAGAAAACTGTTCTGATTCATTCCAATTTTACTCATTATGAAACAGTTTGAGGTTGTCCAATCAGATCAAGCAATAGTGGTAATGGGTTTGGTTACACAACACGAGCTAAAACTGCTAGATTTCGATGGCATATCACAAACTACTACATTGAAAACAGTGATAAGTGTGCAAACATAACCCAGCAACACCTATCAATAAAATAAAATAAATGAATAAGCAATGGCAAAATCATAACCTCGTGTATTAGAATTTCATTCGACAGACATTTAAAAAATATCTCTTCAAATATGCATTTCTAAGAGCTTGTTTGCACTTTCTTTTCCAACTAGTAACATAAGGTATTTAACAACTTATTCCAAGACTTGCATCCTTATGCTTAAAACCTAATAACCAGTCCAGCAATACCTTTAATCACAGTTTGCAGAACGAGAAAATGCAAGCATAACACATACCTTCTATACCGTGAGTTGAAAGTAATTATTCAAAATTAATTATAATTATAAAATTACGTCAATCTTCGAAAAAAATAATCATAATAATTAGATTTGGCATCATAAAAACGAGGTATGAACATTTTATTCAAAAGTTCCACAATCTGCTAAGCCTTATTTTTGTAACTCAATTCATACTACTAGTTTATAAAAACTAACAAGCCTCACCCAAAATAACTAAGCACATAACCCAAATATCGTTAGCATATTTTTTACAGTTATTACTTCATTTCAGCTTATAAAATTACATTAAAATTTTATTTGGGTATAAATATCAAGGCCATCTCAGTGTATGATTCTCTGCTTCACCATGAATCTTAATTCAACGAGTTTGTCATCAATAAACAGTGACACCACAGAAATAAAATCACAAAGCATAATAACTTTGTTTCACACACACTACTTCAACACACAACCTGCACATCATAGACATTTAAAGTGTTTTAACAAGGATATGAGGTTACATGCTTTATGTAAGCATTTACCAGTTATCTATATTGGATTATAGTTGCCATTTATCACTTAGAATTTTACAAATTTTAAGTACACTTCCTATTTGTGTTACAACGATAACAAATCATTAATTAGGTTCATATTATGTATTCATGATACAACATGCGTTGTGAGGCCAAATATTTTCACTGCTGGAACCAATAAGAACTACAAAGCGAAAAAAATTAATATCCATTCCAGAACATGATGCCCCCATCTTATTTACCTAGTGCAAATATTGATACTTATAACGTATAAGAATATAATAAAATTTGGATTACTCAATAAATGTTATATCTGTCAATCAATATGACATGTAATTTAATGAAATTTAAAAATAAACATGGTTCGGTACGCCAGCTGATAAAAGCAGAAACTTGCAAAATTATATCTCAAGCCTCGTCTTTATTAATAATAATAATAAGTATTGTTTGGATTTTCCTTTCTAAAATACAATATAAAGTTGCTTAAAGTGCCTTTCAAGTTGCACTTCCATTATTTCACTTTTCAATCAGCTTGAGATGTTCTAGCTTTGTTGGGGCCTAAATGCCTCCAACCTGCTAAACCCAGCTATACATAAAACTGGAAACGCCCCAGAATATATACATATGATGAATATAGAGTATTTTTTCTATCTTATATTGCTGTTTGATATTTTCGGTTATTAAGTCCGCCTTCCAAAAAATAAAAAATAAATGGCAGGATCCTTCTCACTTTACATCTAAATAATTTTAGCACTAATAACTTCTTCATTAATGACAGAACGACTACTGGAATGGGAACATGCTGTCTAAAGTCCAAATCGGTGAGTAATTACATTAAAAGTATCTAGGCCTAACTATTAACGTTGGCTTTTACTAACGGCACAGCCCATATATTTATCAAACGACTCTCTCTCTCTATCCAGGTACCACATCCAAACAGGACGTTGGTGATCATGATCTTCCACAAATCTCTTCTTGAGACACAAAGAATTTCCAATGTCGATACATTCGTCCACTTAGATCGTTTCTTAAACTTAAGACAACCCCACCTTCCACGGTCTTACCTTCAATCTTTCCAGCCACGACCAGACTTTAAATTGCTTTCTTCATAACGTTTCCGAGAAACTGGAACTGTTTTTCTGATATTAAATGACTATATCAAGATTTTCAACAAAAACAAATGGACAGATAAAAATCATATTATACTTAAATGACGAATCCTGTAGATGGCACAACAGATGTTTTGTTAATCGTCAATTTGACAAGTACATTTTAATTATTTGTTAAATGCACAAGACAAATTACGATATTTTATATAAATGCGTGTATACACATTTTCTTTTCTCCACTTATCATTACTATATAAAATAGCAGTTTACTTAAACACAGGTTACCGAAATCTTTCCTTTTTTTTTTATTAGTCTAACGCGTAAATAACCAGTTATTTCTTCAATATGGTCCTTTGTTTTCAACACTATAATCCCGCGTGAAAACTTTCTTTCCATTATACGCCCGCGCCTGCAGCACGGTACCGGTCGGGCAACCGGTCAAGCGAGCACGCCTGACGCAAACCATGAATTCGTTGTTACTGGATGAGGTCACTGGCCGCCGTATGATGCGAGTCAAGTAGCTGTAATACAATGCTCGAGTTACTTAACTAACAAAACTATCTAGCCGTCACGAGTCTATATAAATCGTAACAAACGTGTGGAGTGGTATGTTGTGTGGTCGAGATGGAACATCGATCTAAACGCTGACTTTGACTCGAGATCAATACCTTCCGGTAGCAACACTACTTTAGCAGTCCGCATTTGACGATCAATTTCCCTACGTAGAACCCGCATACATGTATTATACTATACTAGTACAGCAATATGGCAAAACACCGAGTTTCATATAATATTATATAGAGAAATAGTTCCATTATTTCTTATTTAAATCTTTATCGTAGTTAAGCCTAACGTTTGATACTTTTTGGTTTAATGCGGAATGAAAAACACGATGAAGTTTAAAAAATCGAGTTTGGTTAAAACTTAAATGTAATGATATATCGTATCACGTCGTTGTAAAATAAATAATTCTACTTCTAGTTCAACTTAAACAGTTCAAGTGAGAATACAAAATTGATGCTTAAGCTTCTAAGTTATATTCAGCGATGACTTATGTCCACGACACAAATATTAAAGAATAATGGCTAAAATTTTAGTTTCGAAAAGCAAGGAGTTAAATTACATATCAATTTATCAAAAGTTTATGATGACCTTTTTTAGTTTTACTTACAATACTAAAGTTTATTAAAACGTTTTTATTTACACCAATAACTACATCTTAGAATGTATTTATTTTTTAGCGAACAAATAAGAACAAAAGTGTGAACTATGAAAAAATACATCTACGAAACAAAACTAACTCAATACTTGTAGTCGTACTGTAAATTGTAAACCAGTTCTTAGACGTTACTTGTTCACGTCAGGTGAAAGCCCAACAACACACGTTACAATCTTTTACGAACTGATGAAAGAAAGCCTAACAAAACTTTGTTCAAGTTCAGTCAATCAGGCCTGTAGTACATAACTTCTAAGGCAATATGGTTCATTACTAATAATTCTTACCTTTCCTGCTGCTCGACCAAGACGAACTATTCCTAATTTAACCCCAGATATCCAGGATTCTGGAGAGTCTGGAAGGTCCTTCATTTGAATCAGAAAATTTAAAACAGCTTATAGAAACTAACAACTGTATTGCAACCTTACAGGGTTAGAAATGACGCCTAAACCCCGTGACTAAGAATAAAGCCCGCCATCCAACACAATGAAACACAAAACAGCCACAGCCTCAAGCTTGAATCATGTGTTTGAGGCTTCCGTTACACAGCTGTAAACTCGTGACATACTCAGACCGTCAAGCGCGCACCACTGCCACCTACCGCATATAAATGTGTTTTTATTTTAAACCCTATCTCGCTTGGGTTATCAGGACTTAGTTTCATCTATTATTAAAAATACTACATTGAAATTAATCTGATTCACGTTAACAGTTCGATTGCAAAATACAGATATCGATTCTAATATCAAAAACGATGTTAAATATCAAATTTATATGCTTACGTAACACTTAATTTATATGTTATAAATATATTTTTATATCTAACAGCAACTTCAAATTTTGTTTCCTAGAGAAAAATATTCATGCTAATTAATACCGACCTTTGAAAATATGAAGTATTTGTTACCTTTTGAAAATGATATAGAAAACAAAGGTTTTTACTTTACGAGCATTGTGTGTAACTTCACTGATTTTCCAAGTCAAATCGATTTATAAGTATTTTAATATCGCTACTTGGGGCCCACCAGTGTCACATCGGTATGACTGCGAACTTACAACGCTAAAAACCGGGTTTCAATACCCGTGGTGGGCAGATAGCCCATTGTGTAGCTTTGTGCTTAATTCCAAACAAACAAAACACTAGTTGGGGTATGTTCTTGAAATAGCTATTTATGTATTTTGTACACAATTTCACTTTGATTGGGCACTATCAAACATTAAATATTATCAAAATTATTTGAAAGTTATCCAATTTCAGAAACTAGTTACTATATGCTAAATTTATTAATTTTAATGTTACAAGATTTGTAAGAGAAGTGTGAGCTTTATTACAAGAAGTAATTGTAATGTCTCCATAGAAATGTCAGATTCGTCATTAAATTGGCGATCTGCTCTCATGGTATCACTAAATTAAATTGAAATAAACCCATTGGTTAATAGCATTTTAAGCATTGGTTTCTTATAATTGTAATTAATATTTTTAATTCTCTATTTACTGCACTAATATTTGGTAAAAAAAAGAGTGGGCCAAAAAAAACAATTTTATATTAACTGTTTTCGTTACTCTTGTATTCAAACTCGCCTTGAATACAAACGGCACAAAAAAACAAGCTCTCCAATAATTTTTTTCGACAGTCACGTGAAGTTTCTTTTCTACCGAGAACAAATGATAATAAATACGACTTTGTTCTGAGGTATCGCAGCAGATAAACTGAGTTCGAACTCATCCAGTACCACAAACTATTTCCTACACTTTTAAACTTTGGGGTACGTTATAAGAGTGATAATCGGTCTCTTAGCGTGGATCGTGGGTGGTAGGGTACTACTACTAACTGGCTAACTTCCCTCTGGTCAATAGTTCAGAATTAAGGACGGCGGCAGATAGCTTTAGTAGCTTTGCCATAAACTACAAAATTAAAAAATGGTTACTCGAAATGAACATTTTTCTAGTGCTATATATGTGTGTATATAAGTAACGCTAATTCTATATCGTTACCATTTTAAACATGCCTCCTATATTAGTGATAATGTTGAATTTATTTCAAACAAATTTTTGTAAAGGCCTTGTCAGAGCGGTGTCAATTATAGCTGTAGTATTATCTAGTATTGGGTCAAATTTTCGAAATTAGTAAAGTATATCCAGTTTTATTGCTTACTGTGAATGAGCGCTTCATCAAGAACATGAAGATATCTGATATAAAAGAATAATAACAACAAAAACAAAATGCATTGAAATTCTGACGGTGTACACATCCGAGGGGAAATTGTTCTGTCCATAATTTAGCAGTATAATACTAGAGGGAAGGCAGCTAGTCATCACCACCCACCGCCAACTCTTGGGCTACTCTTTTATCAACGAATAGTGGGATTGACTGTCACATTAGAACGCCCCCACGGCTGAAAGGGCGAGCATGTTTGGTGGGACGGGGATTCGAGCCCGCGACCGGCCCGGGGAAATTGTCTTCTCGCATATATGTTCACAAACGAATATTGAGTTCTGGGCTCTATGGAGGCCACACTAGTCCCATATACCCTCAACAATATTTGGTTATGGGCTCTATGGAGGCCACACTAGTCCCATATACACTCAAGAATATTTGGTTCTGGGCTCTATGGAGGCCACACTAGTCCCATATACACTCAATAATATTGAGTTCTGGGCTCTATGGGTGCCACACTAGTCCCATATACCCTCAACAATATTGAGTTCTGGGCTCTATGGAGGCCACACTAGTCCCACATACACTCAACAATATTGTGTTCTGGGCTCTGTGGAGGCCACACTAGTCCCACATACACTCAACAATATTGAGTTCTGGGCTCTGTGGAGGCCACACTAGTCTCACATACTCTCAACAGTATTAAGTTTTGGGTTCTGTGGAGGCCATACTAAGCATGCAGACGTTCAAGAATGAAGTGTTTGGCAGAATCCATACAATACGGTAGAGTTAACCAACTTCAGTTGTAGCTAACCAATTCCATACTTTGTTGCTTATTCCACCATACTTAACTGAAAACTGCGGACAATATTCCTTTATTTCCTCCGACCAACTAACTGGCGTTATTAATTCTAAAGATTTCAAACCTTGACTAATCAGATAAAAGTATTCCTTTCTACATACACGTTGTCCTGTTTTATGTGTTGTTGTTTTTGCAAACTGAAGTGTCTTCTGCTTGTTGCCTTATTATTGCTGAAATGCACCGTACGAAGTATCCTTGACGCAGTCTGTGGAAAGGTCAGCTTCAACATCAAATATTTATATATACAATTAAAGTTCTTGAACTTCTGTAGCAAGACAGCTGCTAGATTTAAGTCTGTCTTTGAGTGAAGTAAGCCTAAAGTATTCTCTGAGAAATTGTTTCGGCGTCCATTCCAGTGTATTCATCAAGCCTAAAGTACTTAACATCTGATGTAGAAAGACTAGATAGTCTTCTAAATTTTATGTCTTGATTATTTTGTGAACTACATTTGTTGATACTTTTATTTTGCAGAAATTTCTCACTGACAATAACCCTCTGAAGCTATCAAGATATGTCTTACCCACTAACTGTAACCCTCTTTATATGAAGCTATCAAGATATGTCTTACCCACTGACTGTAACGCTCTTTATATGAAGCTATTAAGATATGTCTTACCCACTGACTGTAACGCTCTTTATATGAAGCTATTAAGATATGTCTTACCCACTGACTGTAACGCTCTTTATATGAAGCTATTAAGATATGTCTTACCCACTGACTGTAACGCTCTTTATATGAAGCTATTAAGATATGTCTTACTTCATCACAAACTGTGCGTCTTGTAATAATATTTCTTACTCGAAATTAAAACAGCTATTTTAGAGTCACAAAACATAGAAAACTTGATGTACTTTTTATTGATATAAATGATAAACCTAATGACGAAGAAAATTGTCTTTTTTTTTTACATTTTATAAAGAAAATGTATATGTGATTTGGAAGGTATCTTAGTAAGGGTGTTATTACTATATTTTGGACATCTTTTGCGTAGGATACTGAATCATGGCCTTTAATTCGTGCATAAAAATGTATAACCACTTGAAAATATTTGTAAACAAAACAAAAAAGAAACATAAATAGTTTGATATTATGTTTAAATAACCATGAATAATATATAATAAGTGTTATTAGGCTTAAAAATTCTTCATAACTCTAATAATAATCGAAAAATGTACAAAGGAACGTGTTAACATTTCAAGCATTTTAATGAAAATAATGTTCGTTTTTTTAACGTATATATGTTTCTATCTAATATACGAACATTAAAAACGTTTGACAAAGGCAGGGTTCCCGTTAAGATGTTACTCTAAAAGTGTTTCAGTTCAAGAAAGGTTGGTTAAGTATTCATGTGTAAATATATTTTTTTTCTGGATATGTAGATAATTTTTAAACGAACAGACAATGAACCCTCTTGTTGGACAATGGATACTTATACTGTGTACTTCAAATAACTTTCTTATGGTTTTTTTTCTCCATATCTTCCAGGTCGGTCAAATATAAAAGTCACCCAGTTCCGTATCCAGTCCCTTACCACGTGCCAAGCTACATCCCTTATCCCATATATATAAAGAGTCATAGCTATGGCGGTAGTTACGGAGGCTGGGACTAACACTTGTACCATATACAATTACTACTCAGGCTTATTCTATATGGCAAATTAATGTAAGATTCAGCATACGACAGATTACAACAACTAATATAGTCTATCAAGCATGATTCTGTTCTCGCCTGCTCTATTGTTTATCATTCAATTGTATGTTTGTACGAATCATTATGTTCTTGTATATAGAAGATGTGTATTAAAGGGAACATCATTAAACCATCGGTGTTTCGGTTGTTGATGGTAAGTTTGTGTTTTAAATTCTTAGAATGGTGAGACTTAGTTCAGCAAAAAAAGTTGCTTTGAACACAATATGCTTACGAAAATATTCTGAGATCTCGGATAAAGTATTATATACTTAGCCATGACAACAATTTAATAGTGAAAACGGTTTTTGTCACTAGATGGCGATTCCGAAATACGAAAATAAAAAGCCTAACTGATTTAGTTTATGGTTGTGTTCTAAGTATTCTATTATCGTACGAAATAAACAGGAGTTTTTTTTTTTTTACCGTAATTGTTTATCGGTCTACATCTAGTTGTATCTTGATATAATTTTACGGAAAATGCACCAGCAAGAAAAAACAAATTAACTGTTGACACAAGGTTATTATTCAGTTAGTAAGTCCGCAGACATACCGCTGTGCCACTGGGGGGTCCCATATACACTCAAGCTCTATGGAGGCCACACTAAATATTGAGTTCTGGGCTCTATGGAGGCCACACTAGTCCCATATACACTCAAGAATATTGAGTTCTGGGACAAATGTGGGTTATACCTTAGTGTCTGCAGTTTTTGTATTATGCAATGTGTAGAGAGTCTCTTGTCTTGGCGTTCTATGGAGCATTAGCTGCAGTACAGGCTGAGAACAACGACGTGGAGGTTGATGACAATGATACAGCACACCTTCATGCACTCCGAACTGATCATAAAAGTGCTATAGATTAT